GCAGGAAATTCCACGAAGCCGCGAATTAGTGTGAAACCATCGGTCCGGGCGCGATGGTCCGAGCTATAGAGGGGCTTGATGGCCACGGAAGACTTTCGCTAGGGAGGCGGCTGCTGGTTGCTGCTGCACGGTCTGGCGACCGCAGCACGCGACACCATATGGTCTGCCGTGACCTCCGTGCACACAAACGCGATGCTCGCCTCTCACGTAGCCCCGAACGAAAAGACTCGCGGGGAGTTGCAGGATCCCAAGCGAATCGGCCGATTCTTTCCTCCGCGCGACGAGGTTTCGCTCGAGGCCACCGTCGACGCGGCGGAAATTCGTACACACGTTATACCCCGGTGTAACTCTTCCTCGGACAGGTAAGAACAATGTAGACGCATCGAGCGTCCTGGATACCACCGGATGTCCTTTCAACCGGTGCCACTCCGGAGCGCTGATTGAGCGCACCGACGGTTGTACAGCAGGACGTCGACAGTTACCGAATTCAAAGATCTCGTCGAATCGACTCGTCGGACAGCCCGTCGCGCAATTCGCTTCACGATCGATTGCAAGCTCTCTTGCAATTGACGGCAATTTCATTCGCGTCTTCCGCGCTCGTCCGACGATCCAAATCGTCCGGAAACGTGGCAAAAATCGATCGCAATTTCGTCGCGGAATTTACGGCTGATGGGTCACCCGGTGATTCCTGGGGTACGCTACGATAGTCGCGGGAATACGTGCGTTCAATTGCAGCGGACGCGTTGATTATGCGAGTCACCGACCCGTGGTCGCCCCGAAAATTACGAGGCGGAGCGCGGGACGGCCTTTCCATGGCGTGAGGGATATTTATTCCCTTCGGAAACGGCGCGAAATGTTTTTTTTAACACCGCCACCGGCGGCGACCGGCCGGCACGTTCGAAAGGGCTCGAAAGAGAGGAACACGAGGGCCGGGACGGACGATGCTAACGATAAGTGAAATTCCCGTAGGAGCCGCTCGGGAGCACGGTTACGGCACCCTCGAGGACGCCGTCGGTGCCTATATCCTAATAGAAACGTAATCGCGTAGTTTCGTCCGCTGAATAAATTATCGCGGTAGGCTTATACGAGCCGAGGGGTCGCCGGTAACGCCGTATCGCGTGGATTAGCGGCGATCTTCAACGGCCGCTGGGACACGGTCGTGGATTTATCCTGTAACACTCCCCTCTCTCTTCCTTCTTCCCTCTATTCCTGGCGTAACTCCGTTTCATATTTGTTATCGTTTTCATTTCTATGATGTCACGACAACGGGGGCCTCTTTTCCGAAGGAAGCACGATGGCGCGTCTAGTTCGGGTAATTTCGCTTCTATCGGATATATTTATTCGTAAATCGAAATGTAATTTGCGAGAATTGTGATGCGACATTCTCCAAGATGCGCGAAAATTCGTCTAAAAACGGAGTATGAATGACGGTTTCAAAGTAAATACTTAATTTCAACACGGGTTTTTTTCTATTCATCGATTGGAATAAAATTTGATGAAATTCATCGTTCGGATAAAATTTGATGAAATCGGAAACACTCCATGTAAGAAATAATCTGACACATCTGGAAATACAATCGTTTACCGCGTCTCGGCATTCTGTATTCTCCATTCTGGCTTTCTGCTATTTCGTCGTTCCGGATGCTCATTGATATTAAGAATATATTGTCCATTAGTGCTGTATTTTCAATGGCGCCTCAAAGAGGCTAAATTTAGTATTTAATTCCTTCAAAATTAAATTCCTACACATTTATCTCACTACGTAAATAATGAATGTTTATTTGAAACGAAAATGAGGTAGACACATATATATATATATATAATATTATAAATTCGAATATAATTTTCTATTGTTTTTATTAATGCTATATTTATGCACCAATTGTCAAAGTTTTGGTGTCACTTTTAAATACAATATGTAAATTAATTTGTAATTTTTTCATTATTTTTACTTATGAGCGATACATTCTTAACACATATTTTCATCTTCCGACTAAAATGATTAACACACCGATACATGTACTCCGCGTCGCGATATGTGCGTCGCTCGTTGGGTCAAAACATAATGACGTAGCATGGAAAACACACGACAATACCAAAAACAACAGATAAAAAGGGCTACATCATCTCGTGTCGCCAGCTAAATCAATGACGCGTACATTGGGTAACGGAGAGATCACAACAAACCATGCTTTCAAAACATTGCGGCTCTTCGACGCAATCCGAGTTACCAGGACCGTCACACGCGTTTTGTGTACCTAAGTCGAGATTTAGGGACTACTTTATGTCCTGGGTTTTCATTTTCCGGTTAACTTGTGGTTTAGGCTTAGCCTAATGATAATGTAAAAATTATTTTTCTATTCATGGTTAATCATTAAACTTTCGAAGTTGCCGCTACAAAATTATTAGTTTGATGATTAGCCATAAATAAAAAAACGTAATTTTTGCATCATCATTAGTTTAAGTTTAAATCACAAGTTAACCAGAAAATGAAAAATCTACATCTCGCAAGCGTTGATTTGTGTCTTTAACAATAGTCTCCCACCCTCCTCTCAGAATTATTTTTTCTTCATCTTCTTGATTCCCCAAAGCCAATCGAACTTTCCAACGCACGAAACGTAATAATAACCACATTATGAAAAAATAAAGTTTATTTTTTTAATTTCCAAAATTCATCTCATGATTTGCCTGTACTTATAATTTACTTATTATTACGATTACCTATATTTATTCTTTGTTCATTATTTTATTATTTAATGTCCGCTTATCGCACATATTTAATCTGTATTTATAGCGTATAAAGATAATAATAACCTTGACGTAATCCCTCGAAATTTCCCATCGGTCTTTCAAGTTGCATCAAATTTGCAGATTTAAGGTAAAACTAAATTTTCGATATAAATTAGAGGATCAAATCGCACGTCTAGGTAATCGTGCGGGGAGAAGTTCGTTGCTTTTTTTCATATTTCATATTTCGCGACTACGACACCTCCGAATTTCGTATTTCCATAACACGCTCTCAACGGGAAGAAGCGAGGGCCTTGACGAAGCCGTGCGCGCGATTTATCTGTTAATAAATCAGTTAAATGGATACATCGGTAGGATTTATACAGCTGCTTGTCTGTTTGATCGTCGGAAGACAATTTGCTTCTCTTTGTGCGAAAGTCACGCACGGCGAACGACAAATATTGAATTTCTTACGATCGATCGATATTATATCTGTTTACGAAAGGTCTGGCCTCTCTCGCTCCTTTATACGCATCCGTGCAAGCGCGCGCGTGTATGTGCACATGCACATATACGAGCAATAAACATAATTTATAAACCGACTCTCATGCGAGTTAACGCGAGACTCTAAACAACAATTTCGATGTGCCGCCGCGCCAGCGGTCCCGATTGTTATTTAATTTCGTGGATTCTCGCTTGCGCGATGTGAGACATTGAATTACAAACTGTCGCTTGTAATAGTATACGTACGCTATCGTAACGGGTGTCGAATTTTCGGCGCGCACGCACTTTCGTCAGTCGGATCATTTATCGGCCCCGTTCTCGCGAATATACATATATATCGAGAGAAATGTAAAAAAAAATATTATTTCGCGCTCGCTGACATTAATTCGTTACGATTTTCATTTATCGATATGATACAATATCTGTGTGATTGTCGTCAATTTTTAATATATTATCATTAGAGAGGCTCAAATTGATTATAGAGAATATTTTTTTAATTCCGAACGAATATATATATAATTATGCATATATAATTTCACGTCCAACCGCGCGTGAGTCTGGTTCTACTTAAAGGTGAAGAAAAATGTCGAATGGACGGAGCTAAAGCTCCTGGGGAAACATCGCGAGAAGACGCAGGCGCTTCACGCCAACCGTCCGCGTCGACATGGTAAAATCATCATCCTCAATAACGCCGCTCGTAAAGATTACGATCCCGAGCGTTTTCTGAGATCATTCGAGCGCCTCCTTCGTCCGCGTTGGGCGCCGATGAGGCGCCCGCAGAAACTCAACTTACGATTTAACCTAATTACACGAGTGACTCGCGCGTCTGGTGTAATATAGGTATATTTCTTTTCATCACTCACCCAATGCTGCGCCGGCACCACCTCCCCGTCCGTTCCGTCGAGGCTCTGCGGGGAAAAACAATCGGGAATGCCGTTAGAAAGAGCTGCATGCCGAATGCTGCGCGAAATTACGTTCACGTGATCGTCGTATGACACGCCGGTGATTCGATTGCAATCTCTAACGCGGCGGCTATCGATCGGGAGAGATTCGAGAGGTGCCTAATCATTGATCGAGTGAGTCACGCGTGTTTTCGACGCCTCGTCGGAAACACCGGTGCACGCACGCGACGCCGTGAAAAAGAGCGCGAGGATAATCGCGATAGAAAAACAAAAAAAAATGAAAATCGGACTTTGCATAAAGACGCTAATTCAGCGCGATTTTTCGGATGGTGATTAATGATGATTCGCGCGGCAAGTTGGTAACGATAAGGTAATGTGAAAGGTACTTACGTCCTTTTTCCTCTTCACGGTTGCGGCACCTGAAATCAAGTCACAACGTGTGCTTTTAACGGACAATTCACGCAGCTGAAAGACACGCGAGATATTTCCGGTATAATAAAGATTAATACAACACATATATGTACGATTTATAGCACATAAATTTTCGAATCTCTCGTTACGATTACAATGCGAGCTTCCTTCGAATGTACTTCCCCCTCGTTGTGATCCCGTTATATTTCTCTGAGATTTTTCGTCTCACCCTCACGAACCTCGATAGAGATAATACGATAACAAAGGACTCACCGGCAGTGGGATTAGGTAACCGGGCACCGTTGGTACCAGTGGGGGCGGCCGGGTTTACAACAGGGGTGGGGGTAACTCCGGTGACCGGTACAGCCCTGGTCCCGAACGGAAAATACGGTGAGTCCGGGGGATATGTAGCGCCCTCGACGCCTCCGCTACCACCGCCGCCGCCACCGCCCCCGNCCACCACCGTACGCCTGAAACAGAAATCGAAATCGTGTGCTTTTCCGTTCTGACTCTTCGTTTCTATGCGTGGTCTTGTGAAATAATCGCGACCGCGTTATCGCGCCGGCGAATTATCGAAACACCGATAAACGGTAATGACAATACATGGGTGATGTCGTTTGTTCATCGGATATCCGAGCGACGATAGCGGCGCGGTTGTCGATAATAAAAGCGTCGCGAAATCGTGTAACGTTAGAAACATTAATCTTTTTTTAAAAGAGGGTTTTTGTCCCGATTGAACTTCGACTAGAGACTCGCGCTGCACCGATTACAGATAACTGTCGCAAATTGTTGGGAAAAGAAGAGGAGGAGGGTGACTCACGTGGGCGGGGATGCGAAACGGAGGAAACGCGACAGCGATAACTCGCGCAGGCGGCTCAATAAATCGTCCATCGAAATCGATATTCCTTATCGGATACGGTTTAACGACTACCGCCGATTAGATACTGTTCTCCCTTTTTTCTGACGCTTTCGTAAAAAAAATCTAAGCCGTATTTACCTCGTTACAATGCCATTCGCCACGTAGATGACGTTCATAGGCATAGCGATCGATTCGAATTCGCGAATCACGACGGGAGATAAGTGCGACGGAACGGAAAAAGCAGCGGATCGTTAATTTACGTTGAATGAATGAATGTGTGTGCAAGGTCGCCTCTCTCACGTTTTGCGCGTGACCTTCCGTATGCAAAAAAAAAAGCGCGTTAACATACACGCGCTTGATTTTGCGAGAGAGAAAAAGAGAAAGAGAGAGAGATACAAGTTCGGACTCGATGAATTTTTTCGAAAATTTCGGAATGTGTATTACAATACAATAATCCGGAGAATAGTGACAAGACGCTCTTTTTAAATATCTCAACGAGAGCAACAGCAAGACGGGTCTCGTGCACTTTTCTCGTAGATTGCACGCGCGTCTCTTGATACACGTATATAGATCGTCACAGATGAGAAAGAGCGTAAGTGATATTAAAGTTGGAAGTTGACGACGCTCAACCAGCAAGTCGGGGGAGATACTGCGAGGGAAAGACGAATGCGGGGAAAAGAGGTACTTTTCTCCGGAAATACTAGTGCCGCGATAATTGCAATTAATTATTATCGCTACCGCGCGTACATCGCAGATGTTAATCGTCAGCTAGTTAATAATTACAAACGTCGGTATGGAGTGAATTGAATTGGAGTTAATTCCACGAATGGCAAAAACAAAGGATAGATTTGTATTGTTGAGATTATAGTGAGCTTTCTCTCTCTCTCTCTCTATGTGCCACATCGCGCATCAACGCGAAACACAAGTCATATCCAGATTTCCAAGAATATTTTTCATCGTGAAATGAGAAATGAGAACCGCTATCCGAAAATATCACCCGAGGTAAAGTTTTGGGATTACATCGGGGGTTGCGGAAAAAGAGAGTGGAAGAGAGAGAGAGAGAGAGAGAGAGAGAGAGAGAGAAAGTGGAGTCGGGCGACGGAGCGAGTAACTTTTTCTCAGATAAATTCGCTTCTACGACTGCAATAATTATTACGCTCCTATTTCTTACATAATCCCGCCTCGTTTAGAGGTTCAAGCCGGCCACACAAAGGAAGGGATCTCGAATATTCCAACTTCTCTCGCACGTCGCGCCAGTGGCATCGGAGAATAGGGAAGGAACAAAGCGCGGCCGATACGCGGCGTAAAATAAATCGGCGCAAAGTTGTATGCGAAGTCGGTACGAAGGTCAATATGAAAAGATCACTCACCATCCCGTTGTCTATTGTGGAACCGTATGGCGTCTGAAAGCCTGGTTTTTCTGAAACAAGATAAAGCAAAAATCTGTAAGGAGCGACGCTGAATGCGAGTAGTGCTCTTCGTATCAAGAAGCGGAACGAATTCGCGAATGAAATGCCGTCGGAAACGCACCGCGCGGTTAGTTCTTCGCATTCGAGTAGCGCGGTATGTACAAAGTTCGTGCGAAGGTATTTATTAATTACATATATTACTCGGACAGGCGTATACAACATGACACGTGTGCACAGAGTTCTGATATAAATTTAACATCCTGCATCTTGCCGGCGCGTGTAATCCTTCGACCAATAAAAGCAAAGACGTCCCCCCACGATACTAAAAGGAAAACAAAAGGAGAGCATCTGAAAAAATATCCGCAGTATCGGTGGGGGATAGAAAAAAAGGAGAGAGAGAGAGAGAGAGAGAGAGAGAGACAGAAAATATTCCACATCCAACCCGCAATATTCTTGGCGCGTGAGTCGCCGGGGAGAAAAAGGGGGAGCGAGCGAAAGGAAGTTCCCCTCTCTCGAGGAGTCGATGCAAAATTAATGCCGGGCATAAATTCGCGATGCGTCTTTATAAATCAAAACCGCGATCGCGCTAAGAATCCGCGCGCGGAGATATATACGCGTTTTCCCACGTTGCGGCTGGTACGCACGCGGAATAAACAACGAGATAAACATTACGAGGTTGCCGCAGTACGGGGCTTCATCCGTTATTAATGCCCACCCCGTACGTACACGTAGGAGCCACTCGCGGCCGCGCGAAGGAACCTATGCGCGCCGCCGCCGTCGCGTCTTGCGGACGGAGAATTTATGAGGATCGGCTGGATTTACGTTTCGAAAAGCGCCCAGAAAGAATTGTAGGGCGACGCGCCGCAGTATCGAGATTAATTTTCATTCGACGAGAGATACGCAACGGCGTATACACGCTCTTCCATATTATCGATGCGCCCCTTCCCCACCCCTCTTTCTCCTCCGTCCCTATTATATTTCATCCTTATATCCAAATTACACGCTCTTTCTTTCTTTCTATCTTTCTCTCTCTCTCTCCCTTTCTCCCTCTAAGATATTCATCGCTCGTCTCGATGAACTCGGTAGCTCGCGCCAATACAACCACTCTGTAGAGATACAGCGAAACGTTCCACGGTGATCGGGATTTAATGGGAAACCATGTCGTTGATTAACACATTGAATGCCGAGACGGTCTTCTTGATTTATGTATAAGATGCGAAATTGCACCCAAACAAATTAAATATACGGTCAAAAGAACCGACGGAGCAGATCAAGAGATACATGTACCACGAATTGCATATATTTATCATACGCGGAGGAAATACTGTAGTAAAAATTACCACAAAATTTTGCAATGTTAGGCCATACCGGAATTATAACTAAAATTATAACATATGTTGTAATCTTTAGTGATATACCTCATCGCACACATCACTTAAGATTACAATACACTTAATAATTTCAGTCACAATATATATATCTGGTTATTCAAGCTTTAATTAAACTTCGAGGTAATGGAAATCAGCGCGGCAGTCAACGTGTTAATAAAACACTAGATAGAAATTTTAATCGAAAGTACGCGTGAAAAAGGAGTTACGAGAGGACGACCCCATTTTTCTCTTCGCATTCTTCAAATTCACCCGCAACCGCGAGACGTCGTCCACCCTCGCGGGAGATTCCGAAATAACGTTGTATCCTGAAATCCACCGGACAGATAGCGGAGCAGCGAAATACGCGTGCTCGCGCACATTTCCACACACACACACACACATATAGACATGCACACGCATCGGGGGTATACGTATTATACATTATGGAGGGTATAGTCGCGCGTGGACGATAGGGCGAGTGTCCTCGGACGGGCACGATCGCCCGAGATAACTATGAATCCTAACAGTTTCGGCTTGCTCGTGACATGTTTGCCGAAGCGTGCGGCACCGACTCCGCAATATCATGCATCAAAGGACAAGCTAAACCATGGTCCATCGTGTCATCCTCAGAGCCGGTGCAAGCCCGCTCGACCGTTATGACGTAGTGCTGAGCGCCGGGCCTCCATGTCACGACTAGTTCGTCTTCCACGTTGCCTCTGCCGCCGTCATCCGTTCGGTAATTGTTCGATGAAGAATTAGCGGGAATGCTGGCTGCGAGGTCTGGCCGGCCGGCCGCGTTTAGACGCCGAGGGCCCGCCGATCGCGATTCGCGCGCGACCCACCGTCAGCGGCTAGTTCGCTGCTGTGTCCCCGACATTTGTCGCACGTGTCTCGAAAGATTTATATTACGATTTTTGGGGGAATTTATTCATTAAAATAGCCACATCGTAAAATTAATGTTTTTTCGAAGATAAAAGTTAAATTCAACGAACACGCGTTTACCAACTCGAAATTTTAACTTCTATATTAAGTCTTTAAATGAAGAAAACGGAAATAATTTCCCATTTGTAGCACCAATAAGTGCTTCTTTAATGATACAAAGGAAATTTAGTCCTCCGCAGTCTAAATTTTAGTTCTACACTGAGTCTTTGAATGGAGAAAATGGCGATAAATTCCCAATTTGCAGCATCAAAACAGCACAATAAGAGACCTTAATATAGAACTAAATTAGACTTAAAGCAGAATTAAAATTTCAACTCGGATGCTGGCGCAATTATCCAATTTTGTGCGAATGCGACGTCCACGAGGGTGACGTTGATTTCTCCGCTGAATCTTCACGAAGAAGTGATCCTTCACCTGAGAGTGCGGTTTATGTTTTTCTCGGGCGGGCGAATTAGCCGCAAGTGCGGTCCGGAAAAACGAGATCGCAGATTAGCGCGATTACTTACGCGAGCAGAGAAAAAGAGACGGCCTGGCGAAGAGCGGGAAGAAGAAGGCCGCACGGCGCGTTCCGCCGACGAGGAATTCGTTACGCATTATACACGGGCGATATCCGGCGCGATAACATCTACGCGGAGATTCCGGCCGACATTAATTCGGCATTACACCTCGCGAATCGCGCGACGCGACACGACCTCGAAAACCGCCGATACGATGGGCGATTTTCGAACGAGCGACACGCGACCGCGACGCGGCGGTCGTGTCTCGACCCGCCGAAAATCCGCCAAGTACTGATCGCGCGTATTACAATATGGAAGACTGCCGCGGGAACTAGTGTTTTGTCAATTGTTAGTCCGCAGTCAGTCTAAACCGCGTCATCGTCGGCACATGTGACTACATTTAGCCGCAGGTATACTTGTGTAATCTTTCACACCTGCCGCGATGAAATCTCTAATGAAATTATCGAGTTCCCTCGCGACCTCTCTCTCTCCCCCTCTCTTTCCCCTCTACGCGGGAAGGATACGAGTGGTGAATTAATGGCCGTCGAGAAGTCGAGATTCCGCCGATAGCTTACGGCGAACGAATTCGATAAAGTTGTGAGAATTCTCGCGGCGGAAGAACGCCCTTGACCGAATCCGAGTCTTAATCGCAAACTATACGACGTCACTGAGTCATCGTCCAACGGCTGAGAGCATCGCGCGGAAGAGCAATTCGCCGATCGAATAAAAAGCGAAACGTGAAAAGTGGAGTATCCGTGGCGTGGTATATGGGGAAGGGAGGAGGTCGACGTCGGGGTCAAAACTGCCGGACACTTTCAGCGTTGACGATCTCATAAAAAAAGAGGCATTCGCGCGTCCCGGGGCAAAAGTGCGCGTAAAAAACGCGGGAAACGCGAGGCCGACAAATAGACACGCGAGTGCGAACGGTCGCGACATCGACGTAGCACGCGGACTGTTCTGCATTTCGCGCGGCCGCAAAAAATATGACCCCGGAGATTTCACGGTTTCATGTCGGGCCGCGCGATGGCCGGGTGGACGAAGAGGGTCGAAGAGACGGAGGAGGATTTTCAGCGTTACGCGTTGCGTTCGTCACGCCAAGGGTTTACCGCCGCGGGTTAACGACTATAATTGCGGGAAAGAACAAGCCGAATCGTTAACGAGCAGACGAGAGCGGCCAACCGTGAACGGAAACGCGATCCGCAAGGGCGAAGCTGATCGTCTGCGAATTTTGAAAATTCGTGAACGACGACAGTGTGCACAAAAGAACACGGTTATACCGTGGTCGTATTAAGGACGCTCGATCGAGCATGTTTAATGCGCGCCCGGGTTGGATGACCGCGCGCTCCGCGTCTAGACCTTAACTCTTCACCTCGCCGGGAAGCTCGTTCCCATTGAAAAATAATCCACGGTCCTCCGGTATTCGCTCAGCTGGTACTCCCACCGGGGAGACCGCTTCAAAGGAATTTCCTAATTTCATGCATAGCTCAGTGAATCATACCTAATTGTATCGAGCGGTCTCAATTCCGTCCTTACCTGAACGCTCCAGATGCTCAACCAGACAATTTTTTTCATAAATCGCAACGATATCGTCACGAGTAACGGCTGCCGATATCTTTGGAATAAATATTGCACTGGAACACCGGATTTACCAACCCTTCGACCGCAGTCTGGGTCAGATAGACACGGTGAGTTATTAGAAGAGCTGTAGCGAAGAGAAGTGCACGAGTGATTTATGAATTCTGCCCACTTCCAGAAAATCGTTAGAGAATCGCTTTCATTCCTTTCATAGTTTTCCAGATATGTAATTTAGAAAATCACACAGGGTCAATATGACCCTGTATGCGATGCGAACGACTTATCAGAAATGTACGGTTGAAGGGTTAATTCGCGAATGAAGGACGAGCGATCGGAAAACAAGAGAAAGAAACTGAAGTACGTGGGACGTAACAAGAGAGTCGAGGGGGAGAGGGGGAAACTTCACTCGCGAGCAAGACGAACGGCGCACATGTGAATCGCGGCAAGCCGGTTTTCATGTTCGGCCGAAAAATAATTCCGTCGCTTATCTCGCGCGTCGATCGAATCTCTATCGTCTCCTCTCTCACGGTGTCCATCAGATCACCTGCCGAGAGCGCGGGCTCGCACGCAGGCGGACAAGCCAAGCAGGCAGCAAGCAGGCAGGTTACCACGCGCGGCGCGCCGTAG